CGCGCCATTATTCTATGGCTAGAAATTGGCCTCAATGATTTGGGATCGAGGGGGATTATCCCTCTTTATCCTGCCTCATCTCGTGTAGGCCTGGACAGCCTTCGTAGGTGGGCCCCATCCGTCGTCTACCCCGACCGCAAATGCGGCCGGTGTAGGCGCTTTGTGGGACCTCCTTTTGTCCTGGCTGGGCCCCGCCGGCTAGGGCCCTTTCTTCTGGCGCTCTTCTTGCTTCGCCGGCGCGTCTGTGTAAACCCCGGGGGTGGTGTCATGTTTATGGTTGGGTAATCCAGATGCACCGAAATAGAGAAGGGGAGATAAAAAAGCGGCAGTTTGAATTAAAAATCAATCATGCCCTTTTTGTGAAGTGTTACAAATTTTAAAATAATAATAATGTAGACTACTTTGAATTAGAAACATAAATCAGTAAGTAATGAAAATATGTCGGTGTACAAGGAACATTAGCGACCCTAGCAGTAAAAACTAGAAGTAATTTCTACTATTACATTGACGAATTTTATCAATTCTCTTGTTTAGTTCGTGCTCAGTGCTCCTTGTCTAGTCTCCCTGATCTGATATTTTGACATCATATGAGTTTGAGTCTTTTCTCTGTTTTGTGAGTACGAGTTGTATTGTTCCTAGATAAAACAAATTATCTAGGAATCTAGGACTAGCTATGTCCTGTACAGATTTAGTTTCGCGCAACTCACTCGGTTTCAAAAATACAATACCTATGTACGTTTTCAGCCACGAAATTTGAATAATTCTAAATATTTCGAATTTTCACCACCAAGAACGGCGGTGACATTTTAAAAATTATGCCGATGTTTCGCATGGTACTAGCTAGGGTATTGTTTTTACTAAATAATTATCTTACATCTGCACCTTGTATATTTTTGGATATTTGGTTTCTATGCTTAATTTTAGGGAAACTTTTATCAAGCTTCCTTATATCTATCTCTAATGGTCTTCGAGATATTTCAAATCTTTCAAATGACGTTTCGATAACTTAAATAAAAAATGCCTATTTTTTTAAATCGTGCAAGCTGAAGTATGTATTGAAATTTGAAAGAGAGGTAAGGGGATGCCTACCCTTTGTTCGTTATTTTAAAAACTGTTTAATTTTACGGAGGTTGGTAAAAATTTATTTTAAGTTTGAACTGCCAAAACTTTTGTTTTGCCAGTAAGAAAAAAAATTGACACAAAAGAGATTTTTATTGAAATGTAGCACACATCAACCTGTATAATAAATATGTACTTTATAAACTAGCATAAAGTGGGTGGACGGATTAACAACATTGAAAAAAAAAAATCATATCCTTAAATTATTCATGCACTTATCCAAGATATCCTTTTTAACTCTAGGATACTCTGGATTCAACTTCAAAACTTCCTGCGCTACATCGATCGCATCCGGGTACTTCTTGCACTTCATCAAACAATAAGCCAACTTAAAGCCTACGGAGGGATTCGATTTCCCTCCGAACCTCCACGCCTGCTCCAAATAATTCGCCGCCTCCTTATAGTGCTGCTCCTTCTCGGCGATGAAGCCCAAGAACTCGTAAGCTTTCGTGCATGCCTTGTTGTGCTGAATGACTTTGTTAATAAGGTCCGTCGCGATGTCAAATTTTGTCGATTGGACGTAGTAGTCGGCCAGGAGGAGCCAACAACGTTCTAAGTATTCCGCGTCTTCGAATGTCCAAGTGGACTTGACGATCCTCTTCAGTTGGTTTTTAGCCCGCTGACCCTGCTTTAAAAGGGTGTAAGCGGTGGCAATGCCTGAAACGACAGTAGGAAAAAGTCGTTAAAACGGATGGGACGGAGTGTATTAACACAAAATAAGAAAATACTAAAAATTTCTACTGTGTTCAATGAATTATGAAAGTTCACCTAAAGTGGTGCCTATATTATCCTTGTAGGCGTTCTCGGAGGCTATGGATGCAAAATCCTCCAAGGCTCGTTCGATGTTATATTTATCCTTGGTAGCAAGCAAACGGAAGTTCGACAGGAGTCTGTATGTTAGGATTTCATCCCCGTGAGCCTCTAGTTTCTGCTTTAATTCCTTCAACAGACGATCAGCTGTATAGAAAAAAAACTTAATCTTAAAATCTTAAAAACGCCAGAGTTAAAATTTTTAAATGATCGTCACACACAAAGAATGTTTTCTAAAACTTATCAGGCATGTTTGTACTGAAGCTAATAAGCATCACTTAACAATAAGTCATTCTTAAGAAGTCTTAATTCATTGCACCGTTCACTAAGTTCTTAAGTATCGGGGCATTGTTTAAGTTCTCACTGTTTTCCAACAGATGGCATTACCGGAACTGCATAGGTATAGTTTAAGATGGTAAGGCATCCAGGGCGGAATTTTCTCTTAGTGGTGCCCTGGGTACCGTAAACAATGCCGTCCCATTACCCATATTCTACACAAAATGGACGATGGGTCAGAGTCCTTTTTGACTTTCCGCTACCAAAACCACTAATTTTTCAAAATTGGGAAGTTATTGATTTTCGGGCCGATTTTTGAAAATCGAGTATTCATCAGATCTCGAAGTTTTGAGATCATGGGAAGCTAAAGCTCAGAAAACTAAGCCGCATGCTGTAAATCCCATCAAAATCAGTTCGAGAAAATTATTGACGAAAAGTTTTGAAAAAAAATTTTTTTCTTTTGTAACGACATTTGAATTCCTAGTGAAATCGAGATTTGGTACTCAGCTATCTGTATGTGCTTTCAAAACGTTAACAAATGCTGTGGATCGTACCTCAACCGGTTGATTAATTTAAAAGATATCTACCCAAATATTGAAAAAAAGTAATTTGAAACAATTATCGGATTTTTAAGCTCTAAGAGCTTAATTACTTTTTTGTAAAAAATCTATTTTATTTAGGAGTGTTAGATAATATTTCTTTCTCCTTTTCATTTTTCTCCAAAGTGCGCTTTTGATACGCAAATCCGCTTAACTTTTTCCGTCCGTCACTCATCTTTATAAATTATGCACAGGTTATACAGGGTGTCCCGAAGTCCATGCAACAAAATTTGATCACAGATTCTTCAGACAAATTTAGGGGACCTGTATTTTTTATTTTTGCCAAGTGGCCCCCTCTTTCAGAGTTACAGCCCCCTGAAGTCCGCCCATAAGAATAATCTTTTTTTATATCTCAGAACCATGTTGTACGAGAATCATTAAATTTGGTACACAGGGGTTTTATGACATGTGGAATATGATGGTGCTACGTTTTTTGGCGGGGAACCACCTTAAGACAATTTTTTGTGGGCTCCCTTGTCTTTGGAGCCAAAAAAATTTGTTCACATATTTAAATTTCTTAAAATTTATCAGTCCACTAGAAAGCCATTAAATTTTAAAACTTTTTGTCTATACTTTTTTCGTAAAACGCAATGTTTTCGAGAAAAATGTCAAAATGCATATCGTGATTCGCCATTTTCCTCAAAAACATTGCGTTTTACGAAACAAATATCAAGAGACAAAAAAGTTCCTAGATTCAATGGCTTTCTAGCTAATAATTTTTAAAAAAATCAAATTTGCGGCCAAATTTTTCTGGTTCCAAAGACAAGGGGGCCCACGAAAAAGTGTCTTAAGGGTGTTTCTCGCCAAAAAGCGTAGCACTGTGAGATTCCACATGTCATAAAATCCCTGTGTACCAAATTTAGTGATTCTCGTACATGGTTTTGAGATATAAAAAAGACTTCTTTGGGCCAGATTTCAGGGGGCTGTAACTCCGAAAGAGGAGGCCAGTTGGCAAAAAGAAAAAATACGAGTCCCCTAAATTTGTCTTAAGAATCTATGACCAAATTTTGTTGCATGAATGTATATGTTTTTAGATAAATATATAAATTTATTGTATTTATTTTTATTTGTAAACACACACTTGAAGCATTTTTGATAGCGCAAAAAAATGTTTTCGCAAGCCCCGAATTTTGCCACCACTGGGAATTTGCCGCCGTGGACACTAGCCCCTAGTGCCCCTAGTGTAAATCCAGCGCTGAACGCACCTATAAGAAAGCTTGAAACTCAGTGTATGTTATTTCGCCAAAGTGTAAACTACTTTCTTCTCAAGGTGTTAAACAAGTCGAATTTCTTGGCAAAAAAAGAGTATTTGCGGGGAATTCTACTGAACTACTTTATTCAAAAGAAATCTGCAGAATTCTTTGTGCTTCATCTGCTGAAAAGAGTAGTGTACACTTCGGAGAAATAAAATACACTGAATTTCAAACTTGCTTATAGTATTTAATTGTCAGTGTTGCGAGAAACAACTACTCCGAGAGCTATATGCCCCTACAGGCATTGAATTATACTCGCAACACCTAGTGCAACAGCTAGGGTCGTTCGCCAGGCACCCACCAGGCACAGACCGGTTTCAGACTTATTAATCCTCATCAGTGTGTCATAGGTGAGACAACCGACGAACGAACCAGCTGTTTTTCGTCGTATCGTCACAAGAAAATACATTGTACGCGGGAACGCAAATGACTCCATCTGTCGTGCAGAGGGCGAAGACAATGTTTTAATTATTGTCAGTGTTGCGAGAAACAACTACTCCGAGGGCTATATGCCCCTACTGGCATTGAATTATAACCTAGTGGAACTACACGGTTGCAGTTCTGGTAATGCCATCTGACAGAAAACAGCGAGAACTTAACGTTCTTATATATTTTACACTTTTAGTTTAATTTGTGGCAAAGATCGTATTGTTGTTAATCAGTGAATTAAATTGATTTATTTGTAAGTATCCTGTTTAAACGAGGACAGAGACATTTTTGATGTGTTCTATTATGTAATAAAACTGAAATTTTATTACACAATTTGTTTATCACAATCAATGCACAAATAACAAACTTTCCTCCATTCTAACGCAGATTTTCTATAGAATGGAGTTAGTTTGAAACTCAAATTACTTTTTGGTGAAAAGAAATTTGTAATTTACGATGCCGCTAGTTCAAAAGCGGCAAATTACAAATTTCTTTACAACAAAAAGTAATTTGAGTTTCAAACTAACTCTATTTCATAGAAAATCTGCGTTAAAATGGGGGAAAGTCTGTTATTTGTGCATTAAATTATATTTAGACAAACTGTGTAATAAAATCTATAAAAATGTATTGCTGGTTGCCTATTTGCTATAGAGCCCTCTTAAGTAAAGCAATCTCTGAAAAATTGTAACATTTAAAATAAAACCTCAATTCTAAATGAACCATATTCTATCACCAAGTGATTTTGTACCTTCCCCCAAAAACTGACATTTTCAATCAACAAAAGTCGTTCAATTTTGAATCGCCCGTAACGGAATTTTTGCCCAACTACAATTTTGAATGTTACTTTGACAAATATTAGCCTGTTACCCGTTTTCAAAGCCATAGACCTGGAATCTCTGTACTCGATGTCGTCACTGTCAAGGAACTGCTCTCCCAGCATCTCATCTTCGGGATTTAGGCAGATCTCGATCATATTATAAACGGCCATCTGTCCAAGCTCGGGGTCCTGCCTGGCGTTGTTGAAGTTCCTCAAGGCCCCGTTCAAGTTGCCCGAGTACCACTGGTAGAGGGCGGTACAGTAGAGGAAGCCGGGATCTTTCGTGGGATTCTCGCATTTCTTTTCAGCAGCGGAGAGGTACTCTGGGAAATCGTCGATGTTGCCGGTGCGGCGCAGTATCTCCACCAAGCGGACGAGAGCCTCCCAGTTCGTCGGTTGTTTGGTAACGAGCTGGGTGAAGTGGAACAGCGCCATGTCAAAATCAACCTGCGATCGTTAGAAAAATGTTTAGTCGAATTAATTGAAACGCAACAGAGTAAAAGTTACCTTCCGAAAAGCTATATCGGCCATCATAACTGACGCCGTTTCGTTCTCTGGGTCCAATCTCAATATGTTCGCACACGTTTGCTGACACAGTTCCAAGTAATTCATCTGTAAGAAAAAGTTGTAAATTACATGTAATTTTATACTATTTTAAAGCATCAGCAATAAAAAAAGTGTACTTGCCTGCATGTACAACTTTGCTAGCGCCACCATAATGTTGATGTTATTGGGAGATACATCCAAGCCCTCTTTATAATAATTAATCGCCTGTTCGTTGTTCTTGACGGATATGGCCATCTCTCCCAATTTCATCGAAATATTCACGAGAAGTTCTACCTCATTTTCAGGAGAACCTGGAATTTCAGGAGCGGTCAACAGAGATTGCTTTAATTCTTTTAATTGTAGCCGCCGTGAATTCAAATAGTTATGTGCATGTTACGGCGCACTAGTTAGGAATAATTATAAGAAACAAAAAACTCACCACTTTGCTCCACTATAAATCTCTTCCTCAGTCGATTCTGGTTATCCATGGCCTCCTTCAAACTTTTCAGAGCATACGTTATATTTCCCGACTTTTCCTGAATCTGCGCCAGCAAGTTTAGCAGTCTGGTTTTGTACCGGAGGTATGTCACGTCTTCTGAATTAGTTGTCTTCTCGTCTTCTAATTCGTTCAATAATAACAGTTCTCCTTTCTCAAAATCCCTTAGGTTCATATACAATTCGGCTAGTTGTAACTTCAGCTCTGAATCGTCGGTCTTTTTTATCGCCTCCTTGTAATAGGCGACAGCACGGGAGAAGTAGTGAGTATCCACCAGAGCCTTGCCCATTTTGGATATTAGAGTGGGATCGTTTGAGTTTGCCTTTAATGCTTTTTCGTAACAGTCAAGGGCGTCGTCTGGTTCTAGATACAAAGTTTTTTTTATATATTTAATTAAATTGGGTGCAACTTTGAATGGGGAGTATCTTTAACCTTTAGAAACATGTATTAAAATTTTATTTTTTGATATTCTGTCGTGAAAATTTATTTTTTTTAACATTTTTGATAATTGACCTCAAACAAAGATGCACGTTAGTTTCAACGCATGCACAATTGGCAATTGGGCCATGCATTGTTGTCAAATCTCATAAATTAAAGGAAAGTTTACTAAAATGCAAATTTTCACCCCACCCACCAAGAAGTATGTACGACTCTTTGGTACGTTACTTTTGTTGATTTTAAAATTACGGAAATAGTTAAATTGGATCAAAATTGCCTAATTTATACATTAACTACTAACTATAAACTAACTATACATTAACTTAAATCGAAAATATTTTCCTTAGTTTTTGAGATTTTTTTAAAAAATATGTAATTTTCACATTCTGATTTACTGCTTTCTGGATTTATTTGAAAAGCTATATAAAAAGAAAACTTTTTAAAAATAACTGCTTCTCTATTCAAATCAGACATTTTATATAACATTTCGTCTTTTGACAACCATCATTAATAATTTTTTTTAAATACAATTCTATTAATATTAATGGCCATAAGCATGAGGAAAAATATCAAGTATTCTTGTAAGTTGTATTCTAATGTCAACTTTGGACTTATCAAAATTTGTTATTTGTTCATATTTTACTAATTTATGAAAGCTTTTGAATACAGGGTGTAAGAATTTTGACTGCCATCACTTCAGCATGGGATAGAGTAATCATAAATGTACAAAAAAGTTGTATATTACAGGGGCGTAAGATTAAAGGATTTCAAAACACAGCGAGTATTAATATTGGAGAGTTTCATCACGTGACAACAACGCTGAACCTGCTGATGCACGCCACGTGTACATGTGACAGACTTGTCCTACGGAAAAAATGTAAACAGCTATTATTGTGAAACATTTAGTAAATTTCAAGACAATTGTTTTCCAGTTTTTAACGAAATAAAATAAAATGTATCGAATTTGTAGTGCCAAGATAATGCTGCGCTTAAATTACGTATTTGAAAAATATGTAATTAAAGTATCCAAAGATTCACGTCGTCCAAATAATCATTCAGTAATTTTTAAATGAACAAGTACAAAATAAATTACAACATATGCTCAAAATGTCCGCCATCATTTTCAATGCACGCACGACACCTTCGAATCCAATTTTCACTCACTCGCTGGAAAACACCTCAAGAAAAGGAAATAGTGGTACGCAAAAAACACTCCGACTTGGTCGAATCCAGATACCAACAGTATTGGTGGTTGCTGGACACCTCGTGTTAATAAACTGCCGCTCTGTTGTCACATTGCTAGATATGAATTTTATCGAATTTTAAATTTATTACAACGCTAATTGTTTTTTAGATTAAGCATTAGAAGTTCAAAAAGTGATAAACATTGTATTTTATGGTATTTTATGCACCCAGTTATGTTCCCAGGTATTCCTTAAGTAATTGAACTTTTGTACATCAAGTTGGAGATTTTGATAATTTTTTTCTTGGAAATGATTGAGTTTAGGACCCATGTCATATAAGGTTTTTTTTGTTTATTTTAATGTATTCTATTGTCTGTTAAAATTAAGGTAGTCAAACTTTTAACACCCTGTATAAAATTGGAAATATTAAAGTACAAAGTCTTATAGCACGTAAAATAACTTGAAAATGCCCACCACACCATATTTGGAAGAAATTTTCAACCACTGCGGAAATGGAGAAATATGTAGTAGTATAATGTAAAAGTAAGTACTTTTTATTGCTGTTCATTATTATTTTTTTTTTTTGGAAGGTAGTTTCAAGAAAGTAGGAAGTATCGTAATTTTCTACGAGTTTTATTTTTTCGGCTTTTTCGATGCTTCATATTGATCTAAATTTAACTTATTCTTGTCCCAATCAATAAACTTGAGGTATCGATGCAACTTACCTAAAACGTTCATGTAAGCATCACCAAGAAGAACATAAGACTCCGATCCTGGGTTTTCATCCACAAAATCCTGATAGCACTGCAGGTAAGCATACTTATCCTTTCTGTACTTCAGCAGCACCTCAGCATGCTTCGATTTAGCCTCTACGTAGCACGAATCCGTCGGTTTTATACGACTTAGCAAATCCACGGCTCCTTGTACGTTCTTCCTTTTCAATAAATGCTCGGCACTCAATAATAATATCCGAGATTCTTCTGGAGTTCCTTGGAGCTCCTCGGTAGCATCTTCAAGTACCTTTACGGCTTCATCTGTTTGACCCACCATGTTCAGAGTGTCGATCAGCTCTATGTAGATAGACGATCGTTCTAAGAGTGATATGTTGGACTGAGATCTGTCCTTTGTTGCGGCATTTACCAGACTGAGGGCTGTTGTGAGAGATTTGATGGCGTCGGCATAGTTGTTTGTGTTTTTGTCTACCAGAGCTAAGATGTAGTGGTATATTGGGTTCTCTCTTATTCTAAAATTGTGACTTACACAAACCTAAAAGTGGAGGAAGTTTTAAAAATATATGACTATTTTTTTCAATTCATGCAGTTGCGGTGTGTCTTATGATTGTAATTGTACCAAAAATGAACTAATAAGTTGCCCTACAAAAAAGTTATGAAGATAATCGCAGGCTCAAGGACACCATAATTTTTTTTAAAAATCAGTGAGAAAAATCTCGAGTAGATTTCAATTAGGTAAAATATACATGCATACAATATTATCAAAAAGTTAATAATGAAATAAATCAACTAAATATTGTCAGTTGCCTTCAGCTCAATTCCAAACCTTGTAAATTTTTCATCAAAATTGTTCCCCTCTGTACTTACCTCCAAACTTTGAGCAGCCCTGTCAAACAGCCCATGTTGAACTTGTATCTCAGCCATAAGCAGTTGCGCCTCTGTCATAGGGTTTTTCATGTCAACCAAAAGCTTGTCCAGAGTATTCATAGCACTCGTATTATCACCTTTGATGTACTGCAACTTCGCCAACAAAAACAAACACTCCGACAGTCCCGGACAAGCCCTCGTAATCAAGTTCAACACTTCGTAGATGCAATCCGAAGCACTCTGAGACAGAGATATGTGCTGCATGCATTCTTTCACCACATCCATCATGAAGTCTATTTCTAGCATTAACAAGTATGTGTCGGAGAACGGGCAAGACTTCATCTGTGACAGTTTCAACTCGCATATATTTTTTAAGTAGTTCAGGGCTTCTTCAGATGTGTCACTTATTTTTGCTTGGAGGAAATGCAGTAGCAGGTTTTCCTGGGCATCTTTCACTTCTAGGAGGAATTGTACCTGGTTCTTTAAGTCCTCGGAATTACCATTGTCTCTCAGTTCGCACAATGATAGGCCTAGCAATGCTTTGAGATGCGTTTCGTCTATTTTTGTGGCACTTTTGAAATACCTTAAATAGTGTAGTGCGTTACTAAAATGCTTAACCAAATTTTGATGGCAGATTGTATTCTACAAATTATCTATCCCAAAATTTCTACCTCTAGCTTAATATCTTGTAAAGTAAAACAACGCTGTATATTCTTGTTGAACATTGCTAAGATGTATCATTCTCGAGATAAATGATAAAATGCTAGACCATTTCTAGGTAATTATTTATTTATTGTTTAATATTATAATTAAAATTAAGAAACAAATATAAAATAGAATAATATTAATAAAAAAAACTTAAATTACCTAAAATACAATTAAAAATTACATAAGAACTGAAAAGTTTTTGTTCGTTTCTTAATTCAGAAATTCTTTAATTAGTGATTTTATTTGTTTAGAGCAGTAGTTTACTTCATTCATTTTGAAAAAGGTGTTTCAAAAGATAAAAAAATATTGTTAGAGTTAGCTGTAAACTGTTTATTTAGGTTAATAGTAGAATAGTGGTATTAAAATATACAGAGGGAAAGCCAAATTTTACAGTGCCTCAGTTGCTTCATACGATGAACTGCCACTGATCTACACAGACACTAAACGAGCCAGTTTCTTTGGTTAATTATTGCTAAAATGGCCATAACATTTATTTATTTTTGAAGAAACAAACTAATTAATTACACTATTTAATTAATTATTACTATATGGTGGCGCAGAAACAAAACGATGCATTTATTAACCCGTAATCTTTGCATTAAAAATAATTTCATTTAAAAAAATTTTAATTCACTAACTAACTACATTGATAAAGACTAAAACTGTCTTACCTTGAGCCTTCTTTGGTATTTCCTCTGGCTAGCGCTTGATATCCAAGTTCCGTAACCAGCTCTACACTCTCTGGATTACTCTGAAGAGCGTTGACTAACATCGCCGTAGTTTGGGACAAAATCTCACCATTCCTGTTACAAATTCTGCTGAAAATCTGCGACGTTTCAAGGACTATTTGCATATTTCCAGATTCAGAACTATCAAGAAGTTGTGCAAACTTCTTAATATCCATCAGAGCTTCTTCATAGTTTGCCGAGCGACACAACTGGATTATTATAGAAACTTTCTTTGTGTATAAATTTCTCGGATCGGTACTACAAATTCTGTTTATCGTTTCTTGTGTTTGGTCCCAGTCAAACGCGGCCAACTGTATCTTTAACTTCTGCACCAACGGTAAATTGGTAGAATTATATCGAACTATAGCTTTATTGATGACTTCTAAAGCCTTTACAAATTCATTTTGTAATAAGCAGCTCTCTGTAAAACCCATAATGGTGTCTAAATTTCTCGGATTAAGCTGCAAAGAAGTTTGGAAAATGTCTTTTATATTTAACGCTGCTTTTTTGCCACTTTTGTACAAGTTTAACAGGATCCAACCTTTTAAAGTTAAACATTCGGAGAGGGAGCTTTGTAAAGTTAGTGATTTCTCTGCATAGTCCAGTGCTTTTTCTGGTTTATTCATACATACCAGGACGAAGGAACAATGGTAAAAATCAATAGAATCTGCATCTTTACGATAATCTCTCATTTGTCCATCAAGCTTCACAAACAAATCCTTATTAGTCACCCCAAGCAATTTGTGGCTATACATAAGGGCTATGGTAACAGCTAGCTTTATGTCATTTTCCATGCGAATCGTTTCTAAATCGTGAATGCCCTCTTCAAGGCGGTTTATTAATATTAGGGACAAAGAGTGGTATAAATGGAAGGACGGATCACCTTTAAACTTAGAGATGCCTTCCTTAGAATTATGTAACATGTGATTGTATTGTTTTTCACGAAAGCAGTGAAAAATTTTAGATTTTAAATCTAATTCATCTGATTTATCCATTGCAGCAGATATGAATTTATTTATTGATTATATGTAGATTATATTTTCCATGATTTTCTGTGTAGCATTTCTTAAGAAAATGGCATGTTAAGATGACATTTTTCTCTTCATTCTCCAAATGATGAAACACTCTCTGAAATATAATCGAACTATAACACTTAGGCCTAAAATATTTTAGTAAAAAACTGTTACTGTAGAGGATTTTTTAAAATTAATTTAAAATATTTGAATCCAAAATGTAATCTATCACAAATACTCAAAAAATACCTCTGCAAGGATGTGCCCCAATCCAAGGCCCTGATATTCTTCGGGTATGGAACTGTGTACTAAATCATATGTATCAGCACCTATTATTTCATATTTCACAGAAGCAACTCGACTTTCATCTAACTTTATCGTAAACTCTCCAGTTAACAAATTATTTTGAACAGGATTTTCTATGATATTATTTTGAATCAAGTATAATCTTGTGCATGGTTTCATATCTAAACACAAATGATGAATCGATTGCACTACTTTATTTTAGAGATTATTTGTTTACATTGGTTAGGTTTTGGATGTCATGACAACTGACAAGTCTGACTCTGACAACAACATAATGGGCGTTTTCGAAAATTCACAGACTGCTCAGATCACTTTCTTTATCTTTGTCATTCTTGTGGTTTTAGAGAGAGAGAAGAATATGTCTAGATCACATCCAGTAGGGGTTTTCGTTTTGTCAATAATAGTTCCTATTAGCAACTAATATCAGTTCAGAGTCACTCTAAGTTGCCATTAGCTACTAATAGCTACTATTTTTGCCAAATCGAAAGGCCCTCAGTTAATTTTCGTAAACCCCATTCTAGGCATGGGTAACACTGTAAATTTTCGTGTATTGACACAACAATACCGACACGGCTTGCTGTATCAACACAACGTGTCAGCACAATTGTGTCATGATACATGATACAGTAACCTGGATCGGATAGATGCAGATGTGTGGCACTGTCTGCGTGTCTGCGCCGCGTTCAATCTCGTTATGACACGCCGGTTCCTTTACAAGTTCACAATATAATTTTAATTAGTCCAATTTTTGTAATTTATTTTTGATTATTTTGTTTTATTTACGAAACCATAGCTATCAGTATTTTTTTAATGTTTCAGTTTTAGTTTTGTTTTTTTTTAATTTTGCGGTGTTTTTTTTATCAAAGAGATTTATTTTTACTCGTGTTTTATGTAAATATATAGATATTTTAAACGACTTGAGTTTTAATAATTAAAATACCTAGGTATATTTTGAGTATTAAATTGTTTTACTCACAAGTTTTATATACTTAATAAATAAGTTTTGGAAAAAATATTAAATCGGGGACTCTGTGGCCCCTTAACTCCCATAATCGCGCTTCCGCGGTGTCATAATATAATCGAGAATCAGGATGGTGACTCGTAACACCGTGCGCAGTTTAGTAACTCGCAATCCGCAATTTCTGCCATCTTGGGTGTTATTAAGTGTCATGGTGTCACGCGGGCTGTTTCAGCACCCATGACACCCAGAGAGGTGTCAACACAAAAGCGCCATTCAACACGGTGTTACCCATGACTACCCCATTCCATTACAACAATTATCATTTTATATAAAGGTTATTGAATATTGATTGATATTGAAAGAAATTCGCTACCCCATTCCCCACTCTATTGCATTTTGCGGGACATTTTTTATATAATGGAAATTATTACTAAGGATAATTTGATGTGATGATAATCATGAATAAATATACAATCGTTGTCAAAATGATAACCTAAAAGAAAATGTAAATAGTAAAAAACTAAATATTAGAGTCATAAAAAGAAAAGCCAATTAATAAGAAAATGGAAGCAGATAAATCATTAACTCTAATTAGTGGTAAGATAAATTGGTAATTTCTGTTATAACAACGTATATTGATTTTATTTATTTTCAGATGTATATTTTCTAATACAAAGATTTCTCTCTGCTGGCCTACTAAAGAAAACATTGAAGGTATGTTTTGAGATACAATTTTTAAATTTGTTAATATTAACCAATTAAATTTTAGGTGTTCAATGAAGAACTGGAAGAAAATAAGGTATATTGTAATACATAGTTTCCTGTGACAAAATAAATTTCAATTTATTGTTTATTTTTTTTTTAAATTAGTATTACATATTTTTCTTTCATTTTCAGATTTTACCCAGACGTATTGACTGGGAAGGAAACGAACATGAGCGTACTGTTGAAGACATGATAAAACAGTTTCCAAATATACGTCCTGATTATTTACTGCAGTTATGTTACCAAGCAACTAATTCCTCGGGAATTACATTGTACAATAATAAGAGTTTTTCTTCATTTTTAAGTTTTAAACCAAATATTTATAATGAGAATAATGTGTTGATAAATTTTAGGCAGTACTTTAATTATGTAGCTAGGAAACATGGGGTGCCAATACAAAAGTTAACATCCTCATGCAACATAAGTAAGTATATCCATCCTTAAAAAGTTATTTTTATCTCAAATATACTTTTATTATTTTTTAGTTAATTCCATTAGAGGTAGGGAAGTTTCTGGGCCACTTTCACGGCATAGAGCTATTTCTCCAAGACTGTACGAAGGTATACGTATACAAAGAACAACATTAGGACATTTATCGGCTGTATATTGTCTGCTTTTTGATCACTCGGGAAAATATATAATTACAGTATGTATTTTTAATCTTTCATATGACAAAAAATTTAATAAAATACAATTTCTTTAGGGTGCTGATGATTTGTTAATAAAACTGTGGTCAGCATATACTGGACGTCTTATCGCAGCATTTCGAGGTGCTAATTCTGAAATAACGGATATCGCTATTAACTCGGAAAATACATTGTTAGCTGCTGGATCTATCGACAGAATTTTACGTGTTTGGAACCTGCAGACTGGGACTCCTCTAGCAGTTTTGACAGGGCATACGGGAATGATAACTTCCGTAAATTTCTGTCCAACACCATCTTGGGGCGTCAGATACTTAATAAGCACCAGTGGTGATGGATCGATTGCCTTCTGGACATACACTTATGATTCTTGTGGAAAAGTCGAGTTCAGGTAACTAAAACAGTATCATTAAATATCTACTACTTAAATATTATCTAAATAAAGTGCAAGTACCGATAATGGTCTAAATTAAGTGATCTTACCGATTTTTCCTGATACAAATTTTTATAGTTGTTAAATCTGATTTTATTAGAATATTGCATGTACTTTTTGAAAATTATGCAGTGGTCATATACCCCTTAATTTTAATTTGTGAATTTTTAGGAACACTCCGATTTTGTATCAGGAGAAAATAAGGCCTGGGCAAGCGCAAATGATATGCTCCTCGTTCAGTCCAGGTGGCACTTTCTTAGCGACAGGTTCAGCCGATCATAACGTACGAGTTTATTACATGAAAGGTGACGAAGGTCCCCATCGCATTTTGGAAATAGAAGCGCACAGCGACAGGGTAGATTCCATCCAGTGGGCTCATTCCGGTTTGAGGTTTCTGTCGGGAAGCAAGGATGGGATGGCGATCATTTGGTGGTTTGAGAGGCAGCAGTGGAAGAGTATTCACCTGGATATGACAGCAAAGCTTAGCAAGTAAGAAAATATGGGGTTTATATGTTTTGTATGTCAATTTTAGTTTTTCATGTCCTGAGGTATGTTTGTTTTATTTGAATATGGCTCTGCAAATTGATAGTTCTCGAGATACAAATTTTTCAAAAATGTCTGCTTTTCTAAAGTATCTTTCAAGACGTTCAATACCGCATGATGAGATTTATGTAATGAAAGTGGTAAAAATTAATTGCACACGGATAGAAGTACGTGTGCTAGTGGAGAGATACGAATAGTTTCTCTCAAAATCCCAAAAATTTATTTCCACTGATTTTTTATTAAATTCGATCATTACGTGTTGTCGGAATTTATCGATCCTTGAATTCTTTCTGTGAGGACATGCTCATATAGCGCATGTGCAAGATTTGTTATAAAAGTCATGGGATTTGGTGGATATTCGAGCACTAGGACTTCAACAGTGAAACATTGCTTGTCGGAATGGAGATTTGTAGTTTTATTTTATTTTATTTTATATTAAAGTCAGCTAGCTTCAGGCAAAACATCGCTCATTGTAACAATTTACTAGCATAACTAGATAAATAAATAAATAAACAATTTTCAGTGCTCTGAATATTCAGTAACGATCACAAATAAATTTGTTTTTAATTTTATACAAATTTTATAATCTAGGTTTAATTCTGTATTAAAAATGTTTGTTTTATACGCAGAAATAAACTGAATAGTTGCGCGTTGACTACTTTCTAAAGAAACATTGTCTTTGTTGAGCGCGAATATCAACCTTGTACCATACAATGTATAGTTAAGCAACTGACGCAGATCGAAATCAGCTTGTATTTCGCTTCACTTCGTAGCGTTGTTTACGACAGTTGTCATGGTAACGAGGCGGCCATCGCCCATCGCCTGCCCAACAGTTTATATGATACATCGCTCAGTGCACGATTATAACGGTTCTTTGTTAATATTTGTTTTGTGTCAATAATTGTAGAAATGTTTCCTATGTATGATCCAGTATGTATTTTATTGGAAACGCCATTTTCGAGATGGAAAAAGGATTTTTTTAAATTGCAAGAGACCTGTGCCTTCTCTCGATGTTGAAAATAGGGGAAGTCAAAAGACAAAGTGTACGTTCTGAAGTTTCGGAATGAGTGGTATTCGGAGTATAAGTGGTTGTGTGGAAGTATTTATTTAAAAAAACTTTTCTGTGTGCCGTGTTTAATTTTATAAAATCTAAATGAAAATCCTTGTCGCGAAAGTCAGTTTTCCAGATTCATTTTTAGTCAATCAATGAATATGCTTCGCCTATTCTTAATGTCACGAGCCGCCACTGAAAATGTTGCTATCTTGTGTCAATTTTGACACTTCATGTTAAATAGGAAAAGCAATCAAAACGCTACGACACTAATGTTCTAATTTGGATAGGTCCGGATTTGCCTAAAGTTGTTCGAAATTGTCAACAATGGATTCGTTCACACAAACTATCACTTGAAGTATCTACGAAGTTTTTCCCAAATTATTTCCATGACATTTTCTAGGTGTTCACACGTAAATTCTTTGCCGTGTTCATTTCAATCTTACCCATCAAATTTTTAACGCAGCCTTGTAGGTAAAAATCACATAGATTTTAGTCTGGAGAACATGTAGTCCATGGTAATGGTCCATTATGTAACCTATCCACTTGATAATTATTTAAACGGTACCAATACCTCACATTTAAAATAAAGTGAATCTTTTGTGACCATAATACTAATAATACTAATAACAAACATATCAATAAATTGGTTCTATTGTAAACATGAGCAATTTTAAACACAAAAATGCGATGAAAACTGAAATCGCTATTGCTTTTATGAAATTGACATTGAATTTTTTGTTGAGGCTTTTAATAATTCAATATTTATAAGATTTTTCACAGATTTTTATTCGAATTATTTTAGATGGCTTTTCCTTCTTCTTTAAGATTTCTGAAAAATGTCACTTCATAAATATTTTTATTTTTTGAGTTTTACGTCACAATAAAAGGAAATTTTTGTAGTAGTAGCTGAAATTGTTAAATTAAGGTTATTTAGATTAGAATATTCAAGATCCAATCTTTCTGTACTAAATTGAGTATTTATTAGTGCAACAAACACTTCCGAACCGGACCCAAAGAAGCTGAAAGTGACTATGGTCTGCTGGAACAAGTCCGACGACTGTGTCGTAACGGCCGTCAGCGATCACACGTTAAAAATTTGGACCGTGATCGGTGGACAATTAGAGAAGATCCTTCCCGGACACACGGATGAAATCTATGTACTGGAGTCCCATCCTCATGACAATAACATAATTTTATCGGCTGGGCACGATGGGCAATTGTTCATCTGGGACATCCTGAAGGGAGAAATCGTGTTTAGATTCTTGAATACTATAGAAGGTCAGGGTTATGGGGCGATATTTGACGTCAAGTGGAGCCCGAATGGATCCATGATAGCGGCTTCGGACTCTCACGGCCACATACTTACCTTCGGGTTTGGAACTGGGAGCCCACTCTTTGAACAAGTACGTAACTTTAATTAATTTATCATAAAAATGTATAAAGATAATGTATCTCAGGCGGCTGCGACTGTGATTCACAAATGTTGTTCTGGAACTACTAACAGGGGTGCACGCACAAAAATTTGAAAAAATTTTATTTTATTGTTCTTACTCAGTTTCTACAAAGAAACACAAATGTTGTCTTGCTTCTCCACAACACAAATGTTGTCTTACTTCACCATAAATTAATATCCATCAATTCTGAGTTACTATACACGTAAGCCATTTTTGACGCTTGAAAGACTATTGTACACACTATCGCAACAACGATAATACTAAAATCAGATTTCAATATTCAGAATCACCTGGGACCATAGTAGCCCAGCAATGTAAATATTGAAAATACTACAACTCCAATAATTTTTTTCTCGGAAACTAAGGATTTTACAAAAAATTTTTTTACGATATTGACTCCATTTATCATGACACATCTATTCATAAATTTTTTTGGATAAGTTGTGTATCATCCTGTATCTAATTTTTCCTTATATAAATGTGTAGCGGTAATGAAAAACCTCCAGTTAATAAAAACTGAATATATAAGGAACTTGTAGGAAAACTGTTTATTTTTAAATTTTGAGAGCTAGCTAGTGCATGTCTATTGATGGTATTACAAGCAAATTTCAAGCAATATTACGGAACATATTTTTATGAACTTTTCAGCTTCCGAAAGAATTATTCTTCCACACAGACTACAGGCCCCTGGTTCGGGATTCCAACCATTACGTTCTGGACGAACAGACACAAATACCTCCACATCTCATGCCGCCTCCGTTTCTGGTGGATATGGACGGGAATCCTTACCCACCCATGTTACAAAGACTGGTTCCAGGTCGGGAATTCTGCAATGTTGAACAACTAGTGCCAAATATCGTTATTGGTAACGAAGGTAAGTATTGTTGTTTTTCATAACACAGTTTGGAAGTAATCAGTGAGAAAAATCACTTTAAATATATATGTATTTGTTTTAAATGCATGCTGTGTTTGATTGTAGAAGGTAAGTTTTTCTAATCGTCTCATTTGTTATTCTCTATTATGTTATCTATTTTTCTCAAAATGTATCCAAAATGCTAAATTTTTTCAAAATTAATGCTTTAAAATCAAAATATACAGTTAGACCAGGAAAATTAGCAAAAAAAAGAGGAACTCGAAAAAATCCCTATCCGTGATATTATTGTAAAATTGTCTAAAGGAACATAATACAAGACATCTCTCGTCTCGTGAGTCAGAAACTTTTATTAGCTAACTTTTCTATTTAAACAAATAAGTGAGGAAAACAGTTTTTTCATTTTGCAGAGAAAACCATCAATTTTAGCGAAAAGTGACTCGCAGACAGCTTGTAAGGAGTAAAATTATCTACAAAATGAGACTTGTTAAATTAAAATCGGTTAATAAACAAAAAAGTTATTGCAAAAAAAAACAAGAAAAGTGCCCATTTTTTAATTTGTTTATAACTATCGCATTTATTGTTAAAATTTTATAAGACCTGTGACAAGTTGAGGGTTTTGTCATACTTTAAAAGTGTGCCAAAAGTGAGTACTGTAGGTGCAATAGTTTTCACACAATTCAATTTGTTTATAACGGAGGCTCCAAAAGTTATGAACTTTAAAGCCTCTGTACAGGCGTTAATTTTCAACCAAACATTATTCTGAAAGCGTTATTGTAATCTTAAAGACGTAATTAAGCGACCTATTAAAAAATATCACTGTTTTTTTGTCATTAACATTCTCAAATTTGTGCATTAAAAAATCGTGCGTTTTTCGCTTATAAACAATTTGATTATTTTTATATATTAAGCCAAAGTAAACTTATTTTTTCAATATTTTGTTAGATATTTAATTACGATTTAAATGTAAAATTAAAGTAAAAATTCACAAATTATTTTCAAATTATTATTTATTGTTAAAAATATTTGAATTTATTGCAAAATTCTCAAAATTAAAAAATCTTGAAATTTTAATATATAAAGTTTTTTTATTATATTTATTACTAATTTTATAAAAAAAAAATTTTTCCACAATCAAAATTAATTCAAAAAATATTAATCACAACCATTTTCAATAATAGTTATAATGCAATATAATACAATTTAAAATTTAAAATTTTTTCTATCTTTATGAAAAATAACTTTTTAAATGAACGATAGCTTCATTTATTTATTTAATATTAGTAAAATAATTCCGAAATTGAAATTTTAATTGATATTTTGTTTAACAATAATTTTTGTGACATTTTTGTAAATTAAAAAAAATTAAGTATAAAAGATTTTTCTGGGGTTCAGGGCTATTCTACGAATTCGTAAATATGCCCATTGTTATTTTTTCGTTAAGCTTACCCATTTTAAAAAACAAAGAAGTTTCTACGATGAATAGAAGCCGAGATATTGCAAAATTTTACAGCACGCATCAATTTGAACTTTGGATTTCACTTTCCTCGGGCGCGCGACTCGCTTGAATGAGCTTCCCCCACCACCACGCCGGACATTTTACTTAGCAAGTACCTTTTCTTTAAAGGGCTCGTGAGTCATTAATTTTCCACATTTTTCAATGTAATTCACAGGAAATCGTAGTTTACGTCGTAAACTTTATTTTGCGATAAATTCAAATCTTAATGTTTATAAACAACTGCGCTACGATTTAAAAAAAAATTCTTATCTTGGCTCCTGTTGATCTTAGAGGGTGCTTTTTTAAATTTGTATTTTTTTGCCAGCTATTAACGCCTGTATAGAGGCTTAAAGTTCATAACTTTTGGAGCCTCCGTTATAACCAAATTGAATTGTGCGAAAACTATTGCACCTACAGCGCCCACTTTTGGCACACTTTTAAAGTATGACAAAACCCTCAGCTTGTCATAATTTTAACAATAAATGCGATAGTTATAAACAAATTAAAAAATGGGCACTCTTCTTGTTTTTTGCAATAACTTTTTTGTTTATTAACCGATTTTAATTTAACAAGTCTCATTTTGTAGATAATTTTACTCCTTACAAGCTGTCTGCGAGTCACTTTTCCCTAAAATTGATGGTTTTCTCTGCAAAATGAAAAAACTGTTTTCCTCACTTATTTGTTTAAATAGAAAAGTTAGCTAATAAAATTTTTTGACTCACGAGATGAGAGATGTCTTGTATTATGTTTCTTTAGACAATTTTGCAATAATCTCACGGATAGGAATTTTTTTGAGTAAAAATTTTATTTGCTTGGCCTAAGTGTAGAACAGCCAAATAGAATAAATTCAGTATCTCAATTATTGTGCATATTTATAAAAAAATCCTGATACGCGTCTATTTTTTATTCTGAAATGACATCTTGCTACATAAAAATTTCATCAAAAAATTTAACCTCTTTCGATATAGCTTGCCTATAGTTATTTTTTCATATGATGAAAATTTGGGAGATTTTTAGAATTAATTTGAAAAAATCTAAAGAAAAAAAAGCGTTTCAATTGTGTAAATAAAATTATAAACGAATGAAACGTTTTTCCCAAAGGAACGCAGGAGGTTATTCAAGACATCCCCCAGAACCATTTACCAGCAGTTTTGGAGGAAAATCAAGACGAAGATTTACGGATAGCGGGATCTTCTTTCAGGCCAGGCCGAAGGTGCGTCTCGTCTTTCAAAATTTTCCTTAAAATTCGTAATATAATCAAATACGTTTAAATATATAAAATTACAGTTTTTAAAATTCCAGAAATAGGGACACGGAGAGGATTCGACATAGTACAGGTGAATGGCAAAGGGATCCTAACATCGAGTGGAAGAAAAACGTCCTTGTACAAACCCTTAAGAAAAGTATATTGGACAGGGCCAAAGAAGTCAGGTAATTTTACTTCAAACGAACATGAAATATTTTCTTAAAAGTAAAAGAAAATTTAAGACGTATCTTGTAGGGAGTGTATAAAAGACGCCGAGATGGAGGAATATCAGAAGCAGCTACGACAGCGCCCTCATATGATCAGTATAAATACCTCCAACAATATCAAGAGGAAGGAAGAGAAGAAGAAGAAGAACAGTAAATACGTTACGAGAGCCACAAAGACTTACGAATACAAGGCGAGTTGCGATTAACAACGATTTTGCGGTGCACAAATTAATAAGTGAAATTTTATGTTAGGAAGAGGACCACACGGAATCTTCTGGAGATTACTCCGAATCGTCCGGATACTCCGACTGGATGGCCGAGGAGGGTCTGGAACCACCAAAGCGGTCGAAAAGACGGCAAGTCGTTCATAGTAAGTCTTCGGACCAGGAAGATGATGAAGAGGACGATGAAGAGGAAGAAGAGGAGGATTACTACGACGACGAGGATGAGCCGAGGAGTAGTAAGGAAAACCATGTCAGCAGGAGCAGCAGGGAAAACAGCAGGAGTACCAGAGAAAATCACAGTGGAAGGAACAGCAAGGAAAGCTCGGCCGGCAGAAGTAGCAAGGAAAATCACGTGGGGACCAGCAGTAAGAGTAGGGAGAATGGCGTGGCGAAAGTAAGTTACTGTTTTAAACTATGCATGAATATATTAATATTTTTCGTGACAGTGTTCCGTTACTTTCCATAAACTTTTAAACAATGACTTATAGCCCAGTAAATGAAAAAAAAATTGTAAATTCATTTCAAATTGAAACTTGGTTTAATCGTTAGTTTATACAAAAAGAAATAATATTTCCTAAAAAGTATCAGTTTAAAACAACAAGATCATTGTTTAGACAATGATTATATTGTAAAAATTTCAAAAAACGCAGTTTCCTCCATTTCAACGCAGATTTTCTATAAATAGTACTTAGTTTTAAACTCAAATTACTTTTTGATGTAAAGAAATTTGTAATTTATGAACTTCAAAAGCGTCAAATTACAAATTTCTCTTCGACAAAAAGTAATTTGAATTTCAAACTACGTCCATTTTTATAGAGAATCTGCGTTAGAATAGAGGAAAGTCTATTATTTGTGCATTAATTCATATTTAGGCAAATTGTGCAATAAAATCTATAAAAATGTATTGCTGGTTGCCTTTTTGCTATACCTCTTAAAAGATGTAATAACTGATAACAAAAAACAGGTACCTCCAAAGTCTACCCTTCAGGTTCCAAAGACGGCCATGCCCTCCACCAGTGGCATACCACGAAGTAAGATGAAAGTGTCCGAACAGTACAGGCTAAGCGAGTGGCTGTCGGAGACCAGACCTAGGAAGTCGCCCTATTACCCTCAAATGGGTGATGAGATCGTCTACTTCATTCAAGGACATCAACTCTACTTAGATGCCGTTCAATTGAAGAATATATACGAAATAAGCGCTAAAGACTTACCTTGGAACAAGATGCCAATTCGGGTGAGGATCTCTGTCAAAAACAGCATGTTTAACATTTTATGTAGAATTTCGCTTAATGGCAAAGGTCCAATTGTTTCAGGACCACGAGTTTGTTAAAGTGATAGGCATCCAGTACGAAATCAAACCCCCGAGACTGTGCTGCTTGAAGTTGGCACTGTTGGATGAGGAGGGTCGATTGACGGGCAAGGTGTTCATCGTAAAGTACCACGATATGCCCGATGTGTTGGATTTTTTTGTTCTCAAACAGATGTACGACATGGCGTTGTCGAGGAATTGGCAAATCGGCGACAAGTACGTTCAAGTGGTTGATTCGACATGGTTTTTTGCAAATTGAAAAATTTTTTTGTAGGTTTAGGTGCATGATTGACGACGAATGGTGGATCGGTCACGTCATCAACAAATCGCCCGCCAGCGAGCTTTACCCGTATTCCTCTTTCATGTGTTACGAGATAGGTTGGAATAATGGGGAACAGGAGCGGATGAGCCCCTGGGACATGGAGCCCATTGACCCAGAAAGTGAGATGCATTTTAGTTTCTTTATACTAGGACTGCCAGGGGACCGCCTAGCCGGGTGTTTTAGCCGGTGGATTTGGATCTGCCGAGGCAAGCATCACGGACGCAGGCTGGAATTTGGATGGGTGACCTAAGGCAGGCTCGGGGACGTGGCTCTGGCAGCCTACCAGAGACCTGGGTAGCCCAACATTTGCCGCATGCGTGTGGTCCCCGATAAATGGTAATGAGAACAGAGCAAAGAAAATCTCTGTAACTCAAGACCATGCTATCATACATAAACTGTACGAGACTTTGCCACCAAGCCACCTGTGTAGTAAATAGGATGGTTTGAAGAAAAGTACTTGAGTAATGAAGGAGGGTGTACAAGGGACCTAATAAGGTCTAAGTGCCGCGGTGGTAAAACAATTCCACCACCCTCCGACATACATACATGCATACATACTAGGACTGCGAATTAATTTTGAAGGATTTTTTTGAAAATTGGTCAAGTCTCCAGGGGCTACTCTTAAACTTAATTTTCTTCCAGGACTCCCAGAAGATGAGAACCAGTCCGTTCCGGTATTGGAACCAGAACTGAATTCTATCATATACAAATCCACACCGGAAGACTGGCCGAATAGCAACAGGCAGTCGGTCACGCAACACATCGTGGCTGGCATTACGACGGTCATGGGCCTGGCAATCGCGGAGCCGTTCCTCGTCCCAGTAGACATCAACGTCTACCCCTCCTACGCCTTCGTCATTGAATACCCCATAGACTTGTCAACTATCAAGTCTAGGTTTGAGAATAACTTTTACAGAAGACTGACTGCCGCGCAGTTCGATATTCGGTATCTGGCGACCAACGCGGAAAAATTCAACGAGAGGCACAGCATTATCGTGAAGCACGCGAGGATTCTCACCGAGCTGTGTCTCAGGATTGTTAAGTGAGTAAAAAAATTTTAAAATGCAGGTTCGGACATATCGAACGCGTTAAATGTATTTGTTTTCTCGCAGGCACTCTTCGGAGTACGTGGATGTTCCTACGATCTACCACCAACTGGTGGATACTTACGATTCTTCGGATACGGAAGATGAAGTCGAAATCTTACCTTCCAGCAGTAGAAACTTACGTATATTACCGAACAGATCTCTGAAAGACGCCAACGATTGGAAATTGGAAGCTCGCAACCTTATAGATGCGTTGTGGGATTGCGAGGATTCCGTGCCGTTTAGGGTGCCGGTTAACCTACTGAAGTACCCAGGTAACCGCATTTTATACTCAATATTAACAAATCGTGTGTTTGGACTTTTAAAAAACCACTTTATAAGTTGTATTTTGCTTTATTGGCACATTGTATATTTATATACAAGAAACAATCGAAAAAAGAACACAGTTGTTTCTTTTAGAAAATTTTACCATTTTTCCTTTGCAGACTATCAAAAAATGGTGAAAAATCCAATGGATCTTGGAACAGTAAAAGAAAACTTGATAAACGACAAGTACGAAATCCCTCAGCAGTTTTGTACGGACATGAGACTTATTTTCCAGAATTCTCGTCTTTACAACACAAATAAGCGGTCAAGGGTGAGTATAATTATTTAAAAATGTACTAGAAATATACGGGGTGTAACCTTCAATGGGGTTCATATCACACATAAATTTAATGGTTAAACACTTTATAAACAACATTGCACTGCGCAAAATTCTATTTCGATTCCAATGAAAACTAATACTTTATGAAATTTCCCAACATTACAAAACATCTTATAAACCGATAAAACTAAAGTAAAATACATATTCACCATTTTTGTTCTGCCGAGTTAATGTTAGTCGTTTGTTTTTTACAAATAAAAGATGTAGCTCTGAGCTACATCTAGTGGGTAACGCTACTAACTGTTTGAGATCTACAACGAGCCCAAAAAATGGCAGAAAGCGACCTGCAGTGAAGCTTTAAAATACAACTAGTCTACGAGTTATACGTATAGCCTATAGATTAGTTTCCTGCACTATCATCCTTTGCTCGTCCTTACAAGGGCAACACCGGCCATGCTTTCAGAGTACCAGGGATACAGGTCACTCTCTGCCATTTTTTGGGCCTTTTTGTAGAAATTGACCATTAGATGTAGCACAGTTGCATCATTTATTTGTACTCTATAACTCGTTTACATTTACTTCCCATACTTGCTATTTACTGTAAGCATAGTCCACGGCAAGCCAAAAAAGTACATTTTTGAAAAATTTAAAAATATTAATTATTTTTCGAGATATATTGACTTTTTGAAAAAAAGGCGTTCTCGATAATTGGCTAGATTTTCTCAGCAGATGATCCTACAGTAGCGATTTTTGGTTAATTTTCTTCTTAAAGAGTTATATTATCATGCTGTTAAAAAATTTCGACAATTTTATTAAGTCAAAAAATTACTGAAAAAATTTCACTTTTTTTGGGTACGTTTTTTTCAAATAACTATTTCAATTTTTACTCTATGACGACTTTTATAGAAAGAAGTTGCTGATATTTGTCACGAATTAAAAAAAAATGTTTTTCTATGACCTTCTGGAGCCTTTTTTATTTAAAAAAAATCTAGAAGACGTGAAATACTTATATTTTCAAGAAATAAAAATAATAGAATATTTTTCGTTGATTTTTCATATTAGTAATTGTAGTAGTTAGTAATTAACAACAAAATTAAGGTATTACATGAAAAATAGTGTTGTAATAATAAAAATTTAAGAAAAATGTAAATTAAATAAAAATTAAATATTTTCGGGACTATTTTGCTTCTAAAGGGAAAATGACTATAATATTTGTGTTTATCTTGTCAAGCTATCCTAGATTAAGTATATAAGGATTTTTGTACGTGATCAAGAAGTCGAAATATCAAAGGTTTTGCAAGCGCGAGCCATTTAGATAGCACGTCATTAGTTTCCAGAGCGAGCGCGCCTGAACGCTTTATTTTATTATTCAATTACTGACACTAAAAATCAGTGAAGCATATCTTATTATTTTTTTCTTGAAAAGATAAGTATTCAGTATTAACCTCCATCCAGCGAGTCGTCATAAAATGTTAATTGTGTCCTGTACATTTTTTTTAAATAAAAAAGTTACTTCGGCTCCAGAAGGTCGTAGAAAAACATTTTTTTTTTAAATTCGTGAAAAAATACCAGCAATCACGTTCTATAAAAGTCGTCATAAAGTAAAAGTTGAAAGTTATTTGAAAAAAACGTACCCAAAAAGAGGACAATCTTTTAATTTTTTTTTATTCTCAAAATTAATAAAATCTTAAAAATATTTAAATAGCTTGGTAACACAACTCTACGAAGAAAATAAACTAATAATCGTTACTGTAGGACCGAAAAATAATTCATATTTTTTTATTTTTCAAAAATGTGGTTTTTTGACTTGCCGCGAAGAAAAAAAAGATTTTTGATGGTTTCTTCAATATATCTCAAAAAGTAACAAACCAATCGATGCATATAAAAAGTCAGTCGATAGATCTTTTTAAAACCTACAACTTTCTCATTAAAAAATTTTCAAATGGAGCTATAGTTTTTTTGTTATTTTAGAAAAACTGTCACTTATATTTGCTTTTTGTGCACCTAGCACCCTGTTGTCATATCACATCAAGTGGATTGTTATTATACAGGGTGATTCAGAACTTATTAAAAAAAAAAAAAAAATTCTGGATGTACAGGGGACTCTTACAAATACAATTTTACAAAGAAAAAATCAAAAAGGGCAATTCGAAAATTATTTAAAAATACACTTCTGCACGACACTGGGAACTGGTCCACTGTAAAACGTGACCTGGCGCAATGCGACCGTCACTGCGACAGTGATAAAAACGGGCAAAAACTTGAAGAAATTTCGCAAGGAGAAGAATAAATAGAATTTTATAGCACCTATTTTATTTCAGCAAAATAATAAAATAATAAAATAATTTGACATACCTGATGTTACAACAACTGATCAAAATTTTGTCCAACGACGTGTAAACACATTTGGGTCCGTTTTACTCAGTTTCTATGGACTAATACAAATACTGTCTTGTTTCACCATAACACAAATGCTTCACCATAATAAAAATGTTTTCTTGCTTCACCATAAACTAAAATGATATCCATCAACTCCAAGTTGTTATACACACAAGCCATTTTTGACACTAACTACTAAAAAACTATTGTAAACATCGGATTTCAGTGTTCTGAGTCGCTGAGGCCATGTGGCTCGCCATGCGTGTTACGAATGACGCTAGAGACTACAGTTGTCCAGCTATGTAATGGTTGAAAGCACTACAATTTTAATAATTTTTTTCTAAGAAACTATAAGGATTTTACAAAATATTTTTTACAATATTGACTCCATTTTTTATGCCGTATCTATTCCCAAATTTTTTTGGATAAGTTGTGAATCGCCCTGTATACTTCACATATGTCAGAAGTCATTGATACTGAGATTCGCCAACTAAATCAATGTTTTAAAAAATTGTAACAGATACTTAAAAAACACCCAAAAATTTGTTTGTTTGGCACTCCATCTGCTTCAACATAAAAAATTATGGTGACTTTAAAAGAACATGTTGCAAAGTCACAGAAAAGCAGTCTGTTCTTATGAAATTATTTTCCATTGTAGTTTCGCTCTCTGCCTCTCTGTTAGTTTCTTATAATTGATTTAAAAAAGTAATAACAGGGAACATTTATAAATGAGCACATACAATCAAGTTCGGGAGCTGCCCAGTGACGTTGTAGACAATTTAGACAAAACTGACGATTGATTTGATTTAAAACATAATTTTAGTTCAGTTTTCTGTACAAAAAACTGTCCCTTACTTAAAGTTACACCATTTATAAATACAAAGACTGTTCTCAATTTATAGTTGCACTTTTTCTCAGATCTATGTAATGACTGTCCGTCTGTCGGCCATCTTCGAGGAATACATAAAAAAAATCATCTACAACTGGAAGGCTGCGAAGAGAAGGAACAGTCGGAGACGCCGGTCCAGAAGCAGTGCCAGCAACAATAGCTCCATCTCCTCCTCCATTTGCTTCTCCAGCGACGAGGAAAGGAGATCTGTAGTAGTCGATGAAGGCAAAGAGGAGATCGAAAGCGACGACAGCGACAATATGCCCCTGACGGTACTGAGGAGTAAGACTAATACCGAATCCGACACAAGCCAGAGTTTGGACAAAATAGTGCAAAGATCGAAGAAAAACAACCCCGATTCCGAGGAAGAGTACTGTCCGAGCTCGAGGGGGAAGAGGACGCAGTATAAGATCACCACCTCAGAAGAGGACGAGGAAGAGTTGTCGAGCGACGAATCGGAGCAGAGTAGCCGGAAGACGAACCTGCGGGCGCGGCCGGTGAGGAGGAAAGTGCACCTGTATAGGAGTTCGGACAGTGATGACAGTTCTAGTGTGAGCACGAGAAACAAACGGCAGAGGTTGGCCTCGGATAGCGACAGCGACAGCAAGTCCAGCCGGGCGCCGAGCAATGACGGCACGTTCATGTCGAGCGTGAGCAGCAGGGGCAGGGTGCGGAAGCTGACGGAGAGGGCGAAGGCGCTCTTCAAGAGGAGGTAACCGCCTTGTGGTGTTCCATTTTAAATCGTTCAGATCCTATTTTTATAATTCACTTTGTATCGTTTATTTCGTCTGTTAGGTTTAGAGATGCAAACCAAATTTACAAGGTAATCCATAAGTTGAATTGTGATTTCGTTTCCTATTGTTGATGATGTTTTTATTTCGCGGTCATGATGATAGTGTCTTTATAAGGTATCATATTTTTTAATAAAATAATCTTCTATACAATCGTTCGAGTCATTTCCCGGCTACCCGATATTTAAGCTAAAATCTCACAAAAACGTTATAAATTTTAACTTACCGTAAATAATTGTTAGAATATTAAAGAGTGACCACAAAATCCGCCTCTTTTTGAAACTTTGACAGAGGCGACATGAAAAATCCTAAAAATATTCTAAAAATATCCAAATACTCGTCATGAAAAATGAAAATGAGCATCACTTTCAGTTTTTCGAAAATTTTTTGAAAATCACCCTTATTTAGGGGTTGAAAATACAAAAAAAGTGAACAAATTAAGGATCATCGACAGTTATAAAACGCCAAATATTTCTATGTTATCAAAATAATATTTTTTCACATTATTTACAATTTTTGTATATTTGGGGGATGATTTTACTCCTCGAGAGGGATGATTATTTTTGAAAATGATTGATAATGTATGGGAGTATTTGTGTATAAATTATTCTAATGAATGTATTTCAAAACAATTTTTTTCATGTGTTATAATTATTTGTACTTTGAAGCCGATGGTTGAAATTAGGGGTGGTTTTACCCTCATTTAGGGGTATTTTCCTTCGGATCTAGTGATTGTGGGTTATTAACGGTTCAATTATCACGTATAAAAGGAAAAGAAAAATAATTGCAACTTTTAATATATTTTTTGCATTTTTAGGCATTTAGGAGATGATTTAGGGATATTATGGGTTGATTTTCAATTCGGACAAGACCGTATCAAATACAAAATTAGATATTTTCACGTTCATAATATTATTCTGGTAACAACATAGAAATATTTGGGGTTTTACAATATTGATGATTCTTAATTTGTTCACTTTTTTGTATTTTCAACCCCTAAATAAGGGTGATTTTCGAAAATTTTCAAAAAACTGCAAGTGATGCTCATTTTCATTTTTTTTTTCATGACGAGTATTTGGATATTTTTAGAATATTTTTAGGATTTTTTCTGTCGCCTCTGTCAATGTTTCAAAAACATTGAAACAAGGCTGAAAAATGTTTTTTTTTTGCGGTCACTCTTTGGACTAGAGCCCATTTCCATTTATGACATTCCAGTAAGTTACGCAATAGAAAAAAAAATATCTAAAAACACAATAATGGCCAAAAATGACAGATGCCTTGTATATCTTACGAATTACAATGGTTTTTCTGATTATTATGCTGTGGCCTGTGCACCTCGTCACCACCAATTACAGACTTACATTGCACTTCCGTAACCTCAGCTAGGAATCTATGACCTGCCCTTGTTGTTCTCGGTCTGGGCTTTGTGGGGATGGACTCGTTATCAGAACTCCTAGACTCACCCTGATGTTCAGTGCAGATATTGTTGGCTCTAAGGCTACTGGCACTGACTAATCGGCAATGTAAGTGGGTTTCTCTCACCTTGCTCCTGAAGTTTCGAGGGTCGGCTTTCCCTTTCGAAGCACTCAGGAGTTACTGTTACCCCTTATGTCTGGGAACAATGCCCCAGTTACCCCTCCCTACCAATCATCCGCCAACCTGAGTTAAAAGCTTGATTTTTCTAACATACTAATTAGGAAGGTTAGTCTAGACCAGCGGTTTTCAAACTTTTACGACTTGCGGAAGTAAAAAAATTATCAAACACATTTTTTACTGATTATACTGGGTTATTGTGTTGAAGTGACAAAAGCCTAGGGAAGATTTCGTTCAGCAAAATATGTGAAAAAGTTTATATGAATATGGGTCTGCAAGTGCTTCGTTTCAGAGATTAAAAAAAAGCTTTAACCAATTTGAATGAAATTTTTACGGTTTATTAAAACAATACATCAACTGGACCAATTAGATTTGATGCAGAATTTTCAGGGGCATCCCCAGCGAGCAAGTCGTTTTTTTTGTAGGTTAGGTTAGGAGCATAGAAAATATAGTACTAACGTTAGTACTATATTTTCTATGGTTAGGAGCAAGTCATTTTTTTTTTGTAGGTTCTCGAAAACGAAGACACTAAAACGAGTCAAGAGACACAAATGTACTATTTTTAGTGGATTTATCTGAATATTACACAAAAATCGCACAAAACTACAGGGTGATATTCTTATCTACAAAAAAAAACCTACTTGCTCGTTGGATGCGCCCCTGAAAATTCTGGATCAAATCTAATTGGTCCAGTTGATATATGATAATTTTTTAATAAACCGTAAAAATTTCATTCAAATCGGCTGAAGCTTTTTTTAAAAAAACTCATTGTCACTTCAACTCTGAAACACCCGGCATAATATATTATTATACAGGGTGTTCCTAAATAAGTATCGCAACAGAAAACTGTAAATGCCTCGTGAAAAGTGAAACATCTTTTCCTCTTCCATTTTTCTTTTGTTTTCGAGATACACGGTGTAAAAAGTTTTTTTTTAGTTTTTTGCCAATATCTTAGGAACCATTTGAACTACAGGACTGAGCTTTTGTACACACATTACCACTATTAGTAGCTACTTTTTCGCACCTTTCTCGAATACATTGGACATGCCAGTGGTGGAGATTTTAGGGTATTGTAAGGGTTTTTCCCCCCTAACTTTTACGCCACTGGAAAAATTGACATTTGACAGCAAATTCTGAAGCGCCAATGAATTTTACACAAAATGAGTCCTCTTGGTTCATTGCTCTAAAGTCAACCGTTTTTAAGAAAAATGACTTTTTGTGAACAAAAACAAACAGACTGCTAACATTTCAAAAATCTTTTGTAATTCAAAAAATAGGCAGTAATAATTAACAATTTTAACGAAATTTAACAACAGATAGGATTTTAACTTAAATACTACTTTTTTATCAGTTTCTACGACTAAAATTTACAAAAACTGTTCAAAATTACGTCCATTGGCTTGAATACATGCATTACATCGTCGGATCATCTTTCTATGAACATTGTTCGTAATTTGATGGGTATTTCTAATTTGTTCTGCTGTGGTCAATTCTTAGACCGTATTGACAGGGGTTTCATAGACAATGCTCTTCATGTGACCCCATAAGAAATAATCAAGTGGGCATAAATCCGGCGATCGGCGAAGTTTTGACACCATGTATCTCGAAAATGAAAGCCTGGAGAGAAAAATGGAAGAGGAAAACAATGTTTCTTTTTTCAAGAGGAATTTACAGTTTTTTAGGAACATGCTGTATACTACGATTCACAAAATAAATATTCCACTAAGTAAAAATTAGACTTTCAGTTTTAAAGCAAATATTTATTGGATAATTAAAAAAAGACTAAATATAGTCAGTGACTGCTTGAATATTTTTACATATTGTTGAAGTCAGTGTCGTAATGCTGCAATCACATTTCAAATTCTGCATTAAGCTCATTGCAATAGTTTTTTTTGTCACTACGTACGTCTTGTTAAGCTCTTATAGTAACTTATACGCCAGTACTTATAAAAATTAAAAGTTTTAAGAAAGTCTATAATTTTTTTTTAATTTTTGCAGTATCAATATTAATTTCAAAATTTTGAATTTTTGACAGTCGCAGAATCCCTAGAGAGGTTGTGGGAAATCCCAGGGTTTCACAGAACACAGTTTGAATACCGCTGTATATGGTAGAAAGTGGTTTTCCTTTCAGGACCCCTGGTTTATAACTTTTCTCCACTAATGTTACCTGTATGGCGACTTTTTGTGTGACATCTGAGGTCACTCCTAGGAAAGTCATCATAAAATTACGTTAGTGTTGTATAAAATGAAAAAAAAAAATAAAATTTTGACCGCTGATAAATTTTTAAAGAGAAATTATTCTAGGGTAACGATCTAAATTGATTCAATTCCATTTAAGAAAGCTATCTTTGAAGTATGGCCTATTCATTAACGTACTGGTTGGCTTTAGCACAGTTAACTATGTTTTTCCTAACAACAGTGTGTTTTCAGCTATTTCAACAAGAGGACCATTTTTATTTTGGAATAGTTTTTTATAAAAAAAATGTTTAATATTAAAATTACTTTTTTGTTCTTGCTAAAAATAAGACATTTGAAAAGCACATTTTCCTTTATTTACACCAATCTATCTTAAAGCGAAATTCAATTCCAGCCCTATTCCATGCTACTTTCTTCTTATGGGGTGAATCGGATGGTCCATATGACTCAGATCTGGCGGATTCCTCTCAAATTCCTCAATCTCTTTCATTCCTTCTTCCACGATGCTCCACAGGTGCGGATATTCCTTCTTGTAATTCTCATACCAGTTTTTCACAAGCGGGTAGGGGCTTATATCAAAGTTGATAGCCTCGAGGCACATAGTTGAAGTCACCAGTTGGAAATCCGCAATTGTTACATGATCTCCAGCGGCGTATTTGGTGCCCAAACGTACCAAATATGTGTTAAAATTATCAAGTGCAATGTTCGTTTTCTTAAGAGACAGGGGAGTCCTTTGGTAATCAAAAAATATCGGTGCCATCTAAAATGTAAGGCAGTATGATTCGTAATAATGTTTCCTTATTCGTTTGAAAACTTACCACATGTTCCGAGATATTTCGATAGTACGTGGAAAGATTAAAGCACAATCTGTGATTAACTATCGCACGAGCTTGTGGATCTTGGGGGTATAAAAATTCGTCTTTGCCATATTTCTCTGCCAGATACTGGAGAATTGCGTTGCTGGAAAAAGCGACGGGAATTCAGGAATTAGGTTTAAAGTGTTATTGAATAAATAAGAAATACAAATTAAAAAAAATGAAATCAGCTAATTGTAGACATTTATAATCTAAAAAGGCACAAATTGAATTGTTAAAGCATACAAATCCATTCTGCGTGCGATCCAGACTCTGCGTATATAAAGGAAAACTTTTTAATAATATTTCTCGCACCCTTATATGCTATAATTTGAACCTATACACCCCTATGCATGTACAAAATTTTCCTGTTGAGCACTGTATGAAATTACTATCATGAATTCTTGAGTAGCAAAAGTTGCAATTGTTACATTTTTGCATCACTATCTTATTTGTATTTGACTTGGCAAATCAGGATGTTAAGGACACACACTTGACATACGTGACTAATGATCGATATTATATTAATTATTAATGCGTTTTTAATAAAATATAATGTGGCATCCAAATTTTCTCGAAAATTTTGGTTAAAAAGATAAACCAGAACACAGAAATGAACACAAATTCGAAAACATTTGAACTACATACAAAGCAAGGTTATACGTGGATTTTAAAAAGAGTTTATTTCAATAATATTAAAAAAAAGAAGTAATATATACGCGAGTTTCAAGTTTGCGTAATCAAGAAATAAGATCGACTTACCTCTCGCTTAAAAAGAATCCGTCATCGTCTAATACGGGAATCTCCTTCTGAGGGTTTTTCTGCAAATAAAATGTAAACTTATAATTACACCCTCTATAAAGTATTTTGTTTGAAATTTTGGAAATAAATGGTACTTAACGCACCTGAGCATACTCATCCGTCATATGATCGCCTCTTCCAAAGTCTACGTTCACCAGGGTGTGTTCCAGCTCGAGATATTTAAGGGCCTGTCTCACCGCTAGGGATGGGGGTCCGTCAGATACAGCGTATAATGTTAGTGGCATGTTAAAGCTCTCCTTATTTTAACAAGTAAAGAAAATACTTTTAATAACGTCAAAATAACATCGAACATGTTAAATCAAGCATCTCCTTTGAATATATGAATATTTTAAAGTTAATTACAGATTAAGATGGTATTAAATATCAACGACTTTTTCAAGTTTAAATAATTATAAATCCAATTTATTTTTTGTTTACCTCTTCCAAAGAATTCGGTTAATAGGTACTTACGTGTCTCGGGTAATTATAAAACGCCCATAAATAATGGTTTATTTAATTGCTCTTAATAATACAATAATAAGCTCAAGGACGTAAGTAAAAGAACTAAAATTAAAAACAACTTTCTATTTCTCATTCCCTACCATTATACACTATGCCATTGGCCCCTGAATGTATGCAATTAGTTATACAACTCTGTAAATATTTAGGTACAAATTTTGAATTTGGCGGTACTCCTAAAGGATCCCATAGACATTAAGCTTTCAACTCGAGTTAAATAAAGTCAGCCGTACACCGAAAACTGTGAGGTGCCTTGTTTAAATGAGGTTTTGTGTGTAATTTGTCCTCAATAAGAGTACTTATATGGTAAAGCCGTAGCGCGCTCTACTTAGTCATTGTCGGGGAAAAAAAATCTCAAGTTAAAAAAATATATTTATTTCATACAATTTCATAATTCGTTATGATCATTTTTTTTTTCATTTTTTCCCATCTAATACTATAAAACATTACATCGGATGTATTCATTGTATTTAATAATATATTTCTTCATGAAGAATAAATGGTAATGTTTAAAAGAACTTTGTATTTTGTTTGTGTTCTATTTAAATTCGTTCGTCTTTTATAAGTTACTATTATCAAAAAGTTATTAACTAAATTATTCATTTTGTTGTACAATAATGTAAAAAAGTGGAAAAAAATTGATAATAAAGCATTATCAAGTTGTAATAAAAAAAATATATTAATAATAATGTGATCTGTGCAAACTTACCTTAGTCCAAAAGTTGTTAGTAACCGAGTAAATCAAAGTTTAATTTTAATTTTTTTTAATAACACATAATTGATGTATTTAAACGAATTTAATATCGCGTCGTTTTTTGACAGGTATGTTTGTTTTCAATTTTGCTTTTGATAAAATAAAACTTTTACCTACGACCACTACTGTAAATACTTAAAAACACACCGTCTGCGATCAATGTAAGATTCCTATTACGTACGGTAAAAAAATCGTACAGTTTTCCTAGCAACCGCCTAGCAACGGTCAATACAATACTGTTTGTATTGACCGTTGCTAGGCGGTCGCTAGGAAAACTGTACGATTTTTTTACCAAGCTGTAATAGTATTTTACGTAATAAGTGTTGTAAAAAGCATTTTACGCACGAATGGAAAAGTTACGCACGACGCCTATGAGTGCGTAATTGCATTACACCACGTATTACGTACTTTACTTTACACCTACGACCACTACTTTAAATGCTTAAAAACACACCGTTTGCGATCAATGCAAGATTCCTCTTACATCATACGGTAAAAAAATCGCACAGCTTGGTAAAAATATCGCACAGTTTTCCTAGCAACCGCCTAGCAACGGTCAATACAAACAGTAATGTATTGACCGTTGCTAGGCGGTTGCTAGGAAAACTGTGCGATATTTTTACCGTACGTAATAGGAATCTTACATTGATCGCAGACGGTGTGTTTTTAAGTATTTACAGTAGTGGTCGTAGGTAAAATGCTTTTTACAACACTTATTACGTAATATACTATTATTCTCTAATTTTCCTGTCATGGTACATTGATTCTTTTAAATGCCAGTATCTCGGAATGGTAATTCCTAGCGACGTTAAGAAGTTAAGAAGGTATCCCTTTTTAATGTAAAAGTGATCGAAAAAGAGATGTTGCTAGCAGAAAATAAGATACAGTGTGCAGCAAAAAATTTCTGATATATAAAATTACAAAGAGGCAACGTAAATGGCTTTCTCTAGGTATCTTGGTATACATTATACCAAGATTATGAGGAAATTTGACTTTTTCATGTCAAAAAAACCCCGGAATACCAAATTTCGTCATAGGTTATTTAAAAAAAATTGAAAGAGATTTTAACAATGTTTGATGAAATAACTATAATGCTAATTCATTATTTTTTCCTTAAGTTCTTTTTTCCAGATAAATGGTATAAGTAACAAAGTATGTACCTTAGGGTGGCCCAAAAAAAAAACGATTTTGTTTTCGTGTCTTGCTCAAGATTTTTAAAAATTTCCAAAATCGTCAAAAATTAATTTTTTTTCTCGTTATTTTATCATTTTCTAGGTTGAAACAAATCTCGATATGATAAATATGATAATATTATTCGGTATGTGAAACAAAAAAAAAAAGAAAAATGCGAACTAAAAAATATTCTATAATATTCTGATGAACCGTTTTTGTAGATCAATAACTCTAAATTCTATTACTGAAACAGTAGCACCGTCAAGCTCCCACATATTTGCCTCCACATTTATTACGTCACTATCCACCGTCGTTATGTTCTAAAGCTTTTATTTGAAAAAACTTATAATTACTTTATTATCAGGTTTTACTTTTTTACGCATTTAGCAGGATATATAGTATCATTCGACGGACTTGCTTGCCATTTTTACTCACATCGTTTACTCTACCTTTCAATATCTTTGCCACTAACATACTACATATATAAATACCCCAGTCATAGGCGCCGTTAAATAACTTGTAATCCAAGGGGAGCAAAATCTTGCACGCATAAAAACCGCAACCCTTTGTTTTTTAACCAAATACGACAGCATTTTACTGTGTAGATTCTGAGATATAGAAGCGTTAATAATAATTCATAACTTACGTAATCGTGAAATCGAGAAAAAAATGTTTTTATAGTTAACAAATAACAACAAGTACTTTCAGTATCCGTTAGTGCATTTTCGGCAGATAAAAGCTTAATGAAAGTAATATCAAGAAAGGTACCGTGGTCGCTGGAATCTCTCGGCAGAGCGGGAGTGGGGATGACTGAGAGCAGCTGTGCTGCCGCGCGCAGCATGGATTTCAAAATGCGTATGCGCGATAAAAGATGACTTTTCTCGGGAACGGTAACACTTATCAAATGATTTTTTTAAATTTGATATAGCAAAACGAGAGGAATACGAATATGTCATCAAAAGTCAATAAAATAATTCATTTTTGCACGAATTTTGAGTTTAAAGAATTATTCCAATTTCATTTGCTTTTAAAAAATAGTTATATTATGGTATTCAAGTTTTATTAATTTGTGTTCATCAATCCATTCCACGAAATTCACGTTTTAATGATTAAATTATATTAAATATATTTTCTTTTTTTAATGAGCTCTGCAAAATTTTTAGGGTAGAATTGACATATGTTTACTATTTGTGCACAAAGTTTCATGAATATTTACAAATATTTACTTATTTTAAAAATTGCTCGAAATATACATATGATTTTCTACTATTTTTCGCCCATTGTTGTTGGCCTTTCAATGTTACAAGGGAACATATGTCGAAAAACGGGTCATTTTTGTTCTTTTTGTATGTTTGTTGTTCCCCTGAATTTGGCAATGGTTTTTTAGAATAGGCAAACTCGGATTCTTATTCTACATAATATGAGGGATTTTTCTGTACAACAAAGTAGATTACTTCAAGTTCGAATCCTCTACCGTCTGGTCTAATTGTCTAGACGATGAAAAGCCCTTCCAACTAAGAATCGCCTAAATCATCTTTTCCTTGAATTTAAAATGGGGTCAGTGCAAATAAAGATGCAATTGTAATATTTTATTCGTATAATTTTATATAATTTACACATAAAAGAGATATAGGTAATAAATAAAAGAAAAACAAGACCGTAATTAATTAACCTTAAAACTACAACCCTATGTAATAAATTTATATTTACAACTGCCTACTTTTTACATGGTAACTCAACCTTCTTAACATTATTCAACACAACCTTTAAAGAACTATGTAATGCAAATGTCTAAAACTGACTCTTCTGAAGACTAGGTAGTGATTATTTGCCCCCCTTTCCATCCAAAGGCAATTTCTTCGCAATTATCGATAACTATTCATAAGGATCGAAATATTGGTAGTAGTTCTGATACAAGTGCTCTGAAACGAAAGTGTATATTTTTAAAAATGTCATCACTTATAATCCGAACGTAAATTTGTTGCCCATATAGCATAATCGATAAAAAATCGGTACCCAAAGAAAATAAATACAGAAAATTATCTACATATGTATTTATTTGTCTTTGGGGCGTGTGATGGTTAAGAAGATTTATGAAGATTTATAAACACATTGTGGGCATGCAAACGTTGAGTCATTTATCTCTGCTCCCGAAATCGGTTAGGTAAGTAAAATAATATTTACGTTAATTATGACCTCACAAGGGGAGTCCCTATAAAAACAATTGTTACAAATAGAATTAAAATATACAGTTCCCGCGAACGCCTTGCATTCCTGTTTATACGTAGGTATAGCATAAAATCCAGAATATCCACCAATTGTTTGACGAGTAGGAACGCCTTTTTCATATCAGTTGAGGTTTGTGTTTGTCATCTGCTTTTAATTTACTTTACCTACGACCACTACTGTAAGTACTTAAAAACACACTGTCTGCGATCAATGTAAGATTCCTATTACGTACGGTAAAAAAAACGCACAGTTTTCCTAGCAACTGTCTAGCGACGGCCAATACAATACTGTTTGTATTGACCGTTGCTAGGCGGTTACTAGGAAAACTGTACGATTTTTTTACCAAGCTGTGCGATTTTTTTACCGTACGACGTAATAGGAATCTTGCATTGATCGCAGACGGTATGTTTTTAAGTATTTAAAGCAGTAGTCGTAGGTAAAGTATAGTACGTAATATCTGGTGTAATGCAATTACGCACTCATAGAATTACGCACTCGCCGCTACGCGGCGTCGTGCGTAACTTTTCCATTCGTGCGTAAAATGCTTTTTACAACACTTATTACGTAATATACTGTTCCCATTCCCATTCGTGCGTAAAATGCTTTTTACAACACTTATTACGTAATATACTATTAAAATAACTTTTGATGTCAAATCTACTAGGTAAACTCCAAACAATACTACAGTCACTTTTTTCACTGCTAATAAAAATCTAGACGACTCATCGGAAAATTAGTCGTTTTACGTGATCCCTTAAATTATCTACAATTTAAGGGATCTAGAGTCATATTTCATCAATTTCTTAACTGTAAAATAAAGCTTGAACACAGAAAAATCAGTTTTCAAAAATTGCGCATTATTATTGCAAAGAGCCATGAATGGTTATATAAAAATCGATCAATC